AGGTGAGGTGCTAGGTACGCCCACACTGCTTCTAGCGAACATGGACTACATCTCGCCGAGATATATTTTCCATAAACCATATAAAGTTAGAACAAATAGAAGAGCCGAACGTGGCAGATATGATTATTATCTACACCGATGGTTCAAAAAGATATGAAATATACTCCAGATCGTTAAACCTCAACATAAAAAGGGATGTAAGCAATAGTGCCAGAGTATTTCAAACCAAGCTCACGGGGATTCTCATAGCAGCAAAAGAAATCACCAAAAACAATATCACTGGAATTAAGATGCTCATCTATACAGAGAGCAGACAAGCACTACTTACTGTGAACAGACCACAAATTTAGTCAGGGTTAGTACTAGAATGTCATGAAGCTTTGGCCGAAGTACCCATCAACAATTTGATTGCCTTGAAATGGATCAAAGGTTACGCTACATCGAAAGGTTACCATCTTGCTGATTCACTAGCCAAGAAGGCAGCTAACCAAATACTTTTTGGACCTGTCCCTTCTATTGGACTGACAAGATCGGTAGTGAGAGACCTAATTAAAGAATATTCTCTTGTGAAATTCAAGGAAAGATGGGATGAAACAAGAACCTGCAGAGTTGCCAGGGAGCTATTAAGTTTTCTTGACAAAACTACGGAAAACAAATATTTGACTATGACTAGACAGAATCTGCGCCTGATCACAGGGATTCTGACTGGTCAATGCCAAGTAGGGAAGCATCTTTATACCATGGGGCTGTCAGAATCCGCTCTCTGCAGGGGTGCGAACAAAAATATGAGAGCATATCCTCTACGATTGCCGGACACCCTCATTTATTAGAAGATTGGTATTTGGCATGTATCGGATAACACCGGCCGATATAAGAGAAGCACCTCTTGGCGACGTTGTCAACTACATTAAATCTGTGGGCTGGCTCACTAGCTAGGATGCACAATGGGCGTAGTGCCGTGGGGTAGTCCACCCTCCACACGTTACAGATACAGATGAGGCAAAATAAGTGAATAATATTAATGAGAAATTAATATTAAAATATTATTAATATTCATAGTTGGGTAAATATATCAACGTTTACAATTAATTTAATATTTTACTATAAAATATAGAGTTACTATTTTAATACTTTTAAGTAGATCATAAAACGTGAAATGTATGTCAAAATTCCATAATATATTTGTTTGTTGACCTTTTATTTTCTATTTCCATTGTTTATGTATATATCCTTGTGACGAATTATATTTTAGACATAAACTAATTTATTTATTGACCAGAGAAATGGTAATGTTGTCACTTCTTTAAGAATAGATCGTTGTAAACCCACTTTATGATTTTAATTATATTGTATACATAATCTTGACGCTAATATCATTAGTTCTAATTCATTCTTTGCCTATTCTGATTTTTCTTAAACACCATGTTTTCATTTTAATAAGATATGATGATGAAATCTTTGTGACGAGTTATTATAGTTTGCCTGTTTCTCTTCCTTTTCTCACCAGTACATAAGTATCTTTCTTATCAACAATCAACAAATTCAAAAACGCACTAAATCTACAATTAAAACAAAAAATATAATTAAACTAAAACCATGGATAACAACAACAGGCTTAATACTTTCAATAAAAAAAGAGACTCTCTAAAAAAAAAAAATAACAAAAAAATACACTCTAGAACTTGAAAACCAGCATGAAAATTACAAAAATAAACTTCATTCCTTAATAAGAAAAACAAAAAAATGACTATTATCAAAATAAAATTACACAAGCCGGAAACGATTATAAAACATATGGAAAATCATTAATGACAATAGGTAGTACAAAAAAAAACTAAGCAAATTGAAAACATCTATAAAATCAGAAAATAATGATAATATAAACAATAACATACATAAGGTAGTACCAGCAGTAAATTTTCTTAAAAAATGAAGTAACTATTTTAATAAGCAAATTAAAAAATAGCTCCGCACTTGATCCAGATAAATAAACAGCAACTACAATAAAAAATATAAATGAATATATTATTCTTCCTGTACGCATATCCTTAATATTTGCTTTCAATCAGGAAAAATTCCAAGTCAATGGAAGGAATCAATTGTCACACCTGTATACAAATCCGGAGACCCTAGTGAGCTTACAAATTTTAGGCCAATTTCTGTTATCAACAACTTCGCTAAAATTTTTGAAAATGCAGTAAAAAGTAGATTAATTAATTTTTTTATAATCATAATGTTATTACAGATTGTCAATACGGTTTTACACAAAACTCAAGCACTGAAAATGCGGTAGTTGATTTTTTGGAAAAGACGGTTAGCTCAGTAGAAGAATCATTAAAATGTGCTGCAGTATTTCTTGATTTGGCCAAAGCATTTGATACCATACCGTTTCCCATAACATTTTACTTTACAAATTAAATAACTATGGCATCCGGGGTTTAGCATTAAGGCTCCTGAGGGATTATTTATCTAATAGAACCCAGAGCGTAAAAATTGGCGACGTCGGAAGTTCTAAATCAGTAGTAAAGATGGGGGTCCCACAAGGAACAGTATTGGGCCCAATTCTATTTCTGGTTTATATGAACAACATTACAGAAATTAATAACTTATCTGGGAATATCATATGCTATGCGGATGATACGGTAATTATTTTCGCTGGAAAGGATTGGGATGAGGTTAAACTCACTGAAGAAACGGCCCTGAGAAAGATAAGTTTATGGTTAAATAACAATCTAACTTTAAATGTTTAGAAAACAAAATGCATTACTTTTAGTTCAACCATCGTTAACCAACCAGGTTTTGTATAAAATTGCACAGTAGTGACTGTCAAAAAAACGATTGTAACTGCCCCTTGATAGAAAAAGTTTCTCAAATTAAATACCTAGGTGTAATACTTGATCAATAGATACGTTGGTCTGAACATATTGTCCATGTTAGTAACAGACTGAGAGCCCTAAACAAATTTTAAGTTTTCCGGGATATTCTTTCGAAGAAAAATATAATGATACTTTTTAACTCCCTAGTGGAATATATATTAAGGTATTGCATAGTAGCATTCAACACCACTATTAAAATTGTAGAGACAACAAAAAACATTATTTTAAAAATTATCCTAAAAAAAGAGACTATTATCTACAAATAAATCTTACGATGAATCGAACATACTAAACATCAAATTACTTTTTGCTTATCAATGTATAATGAGAATATATACCAGTGCTGAAAAAAATACCCGCTTAACACGCTCAGTCGCTAATATGGAGATTCCTGTACAATTTTTCAAAAAATCACTTAGTCAAAGGTCATTATCAATTCTTTGGCCCAAAATTTTTTAACATAATTCCGATACACCTCAGGCAAATAAACAAAAAAGTTTAAAATTGAAATAAAAAAATATTTAATAACAAATAAAAAAAAATTACGATCTAATGATAACATAGTATAAATAAAAACATATCAAAAGCCAAAAGGCACATGCGCTTCGTCGTTTTTGTCTACTTTTCCCAAGGTACTGTCTATTTTTTATTTATCTTTTTATTTATCGGTTTATTCTGTCGAATTTCTTCGTCCTTGTTCTTATTTTTAAATATTGTATCTTTTGTCAGGTGATAAATAATTATATGTAAAATTCAATACCTGTCTCTAAAAAAATATGTACATAAATAGATTCATCTGATTGATCAGAAGCAAAACATGCAGAAATGCCTAGGTTCGATGCTGAATCAGATGTCTTTAAAGAATTTTTTTTATATAACTATTTTTTTTTACTATTAGGTAATGTACTTTAATATTTAAACAAATAAATTTGATTTGATTTGATATAAAATAGGCGAAGTTTTCCTGCTTTTTTAAAGTATCTTCCCTTGCCTGGCTTGCCCAATGTTGTTGCAAGTGAGAAAATATTAGTGTCGAAATAACAAGGCATTTTTAACTATTTAAAGAACTATCTGATAAAGTCACGATATTTATATTGGTTTAAGGTTTTCATACTATATTTTTAGTATTTTTTGTTATAACTTTCTCATTAAATCTATCGGTTGTCTGCTTTGAACTATATAGCAGAAATAATCCAACTTAGGTACTTTATATTTTGACTTTCTGTGTAGTATTTAATTTAATTAGTTAATAACGTACATACACATTTTGGTCCATGTTGTGCCGGAGGGTAACATATATCCCAAACAGCAGAAACATGTACTTAAGGTAAATTTAGCAACGTGTTTGGAAATGAGGGTTGTAACTTTGAAAACTTCAATAACAAAAGTTAAGCGCCGTGAAATTATTTGGCAAGATAAGCTAAATTGTTTCAAGATGTATTGTTCTTTTGTAAGTTGATAATAAGACATGTTAATTCTACAGCTTCTACAAAAAAAAGTATTAACTTGGCTTTGAAATTATATAAAAAGAAGATGTGATGAAAAACAGATGCGTTTTCTTATTTCAGTCGTTGATAGTGATATTTTGTTTTATATTCATAGGTAGATTGTTTATTAAAAGCTTTAATATCTACATGATCTCATTTATTTTGGGATATCTCATTCGTTTTTTCTATAAAGTCGTGAGTAATAGGTACTTTATTCGATGGAATTATTTACATTATTTTATTAACTATTATCATGGTCAGAATAATATTTTGGCAAGTGCCACAATTTAATTTATGAACATTTATAAACCTAAACGACTATTGTTGTGAAATTTTGGCAGGTGCTATTCGTTTTCTTTATCAATGGAGACCATCGAGTGTCACCTTAAACGAGGTTTTCGGTAAAGCTGATCAACATTGCCGAATTTTATGTTGTTGAACTCTTGGGCAGATGATTATTTACATTTATAATTTTAATATGATGAGCAGACCCAGTGCCGAACTAATTGGTATTTCGAATATTAAATGCAGATGATATATCTTTGCACATGGTGACAAAACGGCAGCTGTTTCGGGTATCTAATCTCATATAAATTGGAATGTTTTTTTAATTACTTACGTTCATGATATTTTAAAGGTTTATATTGCCAAGAAATATGTGATAACAAAAAAGCAGAAGACTAGTTATTACAGGAGGTTGATATATGTGCAAAATTTAGTTGTAATAAAGATAATCAAAGAGTTTGTTGATCAATTGAATATTTGGATAAATGGTAAGAGATTTTGGTACAGTAAAATCTGAACACATTAATATAAATAATCAGAATGTGCAATACACATAAAAAAGTTACCTGGTAGAATTAACCTGGGGTCTAATGTTATATTTTAAATTAATTTTCTGCTGCATTTGATTATCAAACAGATCAGTTTATGTGTGTTCAACTATGCATATATTTCATACTCCATTATTTTAATTGGTTAATTAAATTAACATTGTTATTGTAAATAGAAAAGTATGCAGGTTTTTCCAATTAGTCTCTACTAAACATCCACGTGTGCATTTTCAAACATGGAGATAAATTGTATTACAATGTTTTTATAGTTCATCGATTTGCGATTGATAAAAACAATTATATATTAGCAATTATTAATCATACTTTAATAGATATGTCGTGTTTTTTTTAACCACAAACAAATAGTCTGTATATTATAATATACATATCCTAACAAATGAAGCAAAAGGTATATTTATACTCCCTTATTATTAGTATTTGCATTAGTATTATGATTAAGGATTGTAGTCGATTTATGATTATTATTAGCATTAATACTTATGCTTAATAATTGACAGTTTCAACTTTTATGTTAAATCTTAAATTTCCTCTTTTCTATCAAATGAAACAATGACGTATTTCGCCTTTGTTTTTAATAGACAACGGATAAGGACAAATAACAATACACATATGATTATGTTGTCAGATGTTTACAGTTTATTCTCGGATTTATTCATAGAAAAATAAAAAGTGTTCATACCAGAGAACTACGAGTACGAGAAATATCAACAGTTTTTACCGAGTAAAAAATTGAAAGAATGACAAATGACATGTCACCACGAGGAAGCAAAGGCCTCTTTTTTATCTGATTTGTCTCAAAATTCTGCTTCTTTTTATCTGATATAAATTTGAGACATAAATCTGTTAAAATGTCGTTTATTAAACCTATTTTTAAATAATATTTTTAAATAAAATTAACTAGTAAAAGTAATAATAAAAACACGTTTAAAAGTAAAATATCTTAAAACACTACTGCCCTTTTACACATTTTTTCAGTAACCATACATTTTGGTGACTGTAGAATTATATCTTATTAGGATTAAAAAAACTAATACTAATTGTAAAACGAGTATAAATACCCTTTTGAATATTTTGTCCAGTTTAATGCTTAATCATAATAATTAAAGAAATACTAATAATAATGGAGTAAAACATCAATTTTTTCAGATGGATTTGAAGAATTCCGCCCCATCCAAGTATACCATAATTTAACCTCGACTGAACAAGAGAATAATAAATTATTTTTAAATGACGAACATCTAGACGTGTTTTAGGATATTTAAATTTTTAAAGACGGCATCTTAAAGATCTAGCAATATCTTTGACATGGGCATTCTACTTAAGATGCGAGTCTAGTTTTATTCCTAAATATTTAATTTCATTCACTGACCTAATAGTTGCATTCTGATGGTTTTGAATCCGTATTTCATTAAAGGGTGGTAAAGAGGATTTATAATTACAAAAAGGAACAAAATGGGTTTTCTCAAAATTAACAGTTAATTTCATATGAATAAACCAGTTAATAATTTTACCTAAATCTGTTTCTGTTTTTTTTTTACATCCTTCCAATTTTCAGCTGTATAAATAATGACGGTGTCGTCAGAAAAACTAATTATGTTAACTTCTATTTCAATACTGAAGAGGCCATTTATATAAACACTAAACAATAGAACGGTGCCTTGTGGTACTCCATAATTAAGTGTTCTATATTCACTAAAGACATCATTTCCTTTAACTATTTGTTTTCTGTTATTTGGGTAACTAGCCATCAAATCAAGTGATGTCCCTCGTATTCCTGCATCTTCCAAGGCATCTATCAACTGTTTATGACAAACAGTATCGAATGCCTTTGCGAGATCCAGAAATACACAGGCTGTTGGTTTCCTATCATCAACGAGTTTGTAGATGGTCTTTGTTAATTCGACAATTGCATCATTCGTAGATAAATAAGCCTTTTTGAAAACCATATTGGCATTTAGACATTAATTTATGTTTATTGAAAAAAAGTTGTTAAACGTATTTTTAAAGCTTTCTCAAAAATTTTAGTAAGTGTAGTTATTAAAGAGATTGGTCTATAATTGGAAACATTATTCCTATCACCGTCTTTGTAAATTGTTAATATAATTGCCACGTTAAAATGATTTGGACATTCATCAGTATTAAAAATGTGATTTATTAGGTTAACTAATTGAGGGATAATTTAATTTTTTATATTTTTTACTATTTCGGTTGTTAGACTATCTATTCCTGGTGTCTTTTTACTTTTTAAAGATTCTATAATTCTATTTAGCTCTGCACCACTAACCTGAGAGATAAAACGATTGTAAAATGGATTTATTTTTCGGTGAAGGTGTTTGGTGTTTGGGGTTTAATAATTTTAATAGCATACGTCTCTCCTACATCGGTGAAATGTTGGACAAATCGATTTGCAATGCTTTTGCTGTCCCTAATAGATGATCAATTTTGAGTAAGCACTTCCTCTACGTTCTCAATATTTTCTTCTTGTTTCGACCTGTTTACAATGTTCCAAAATTTTTAGAATAGTTACTATTTTATTCTTAAAATAATCTTTTTTTACAGATTTTATTATTTTCTTTAACTGGTCTCAGACAAGGAAAAATCGTGCCCCTTCAGTATAAATTTATATAATTTTATTTTTCAGATATGGGCCATTACAAGCATAAAACTCATCGCAAAACCTACTCTTTAATAATAAATCTACTGAGGGCTAGATTTCACGTTCACATTGCTGCAAATGATGTAAAATTTGAGAACAGTGAATAACTGAAATTACAAAAATACAATTTGTTGTATTAAATTGACCCCGCATTTAATTTATTTTTAAAGTTATTATAATACTAAATAATTAGTAAAATGTTGAGTCAATGTGTAGCAGAACAACACGTTATATTTTTAAGAACCTCATTTTAATATTTAATTAATTATTAAAAACATTAAAAGTCACTTTCTAACTTAAAAAAAAATTTGTTCAAAATAGAACGTTGATAGCAATGGAAAACTTAATAGACCCTATAATAATAAATTATAGAAAAAACAATGATAATGACCAGCAGTTATATAGGCAGTGACTTTTAAAGATAGTTCGTGAAACTTTTAATGCCAAGAGATTAAAAAAAGTTTAATCCTATTAACAACATATAATCATCCTTGTTATTTATTGGTTAAAGTTAATTTTTTTTAATCAAATCTATAAATATTTGTTTTTACATTTGGGTTCCGGGGATGGTCTTAATAATTCGTAAGGGGATTTTTGAGATTTGTTTCCGAATTTTAAAATTTATTTAAATTTAATTTGTTCAATGTTAAAGTGCAACAATTTTGTCAGAATCATAAAATTTATTTTTAGTTTTTGTAAATAACATAATTTGGACTTCCGATTTGGACATCGTCGTGGCAACATTGAAATGGCGGTCTCCGAATCAGGAGTCCTGAAGTACAACAAAAATTACAAAATATCAAGTACAAAAGTGACCATCCGAATTTAAAAAGTATAATAAATTAAATAAATTATTCAGTGTCAAGAATTCTGAAGAATATTTAAAATAATTATCAAACGTACTGGAAGAGTGAGGAAAGAAATCCGACGCACGAGGGTGCAACTTTTCTTCTTAACAAAATTTGAAAAAATAACTTGGGTGGAGGGTGAAGATAGTCCTAGGATTAAGCCCATAACTACATTAAAGAAGAAGAAATAACATAACTTACTTCATTAAAAATTTATTCTACGAAGTGCGTATATACCAATTTATATGCCGTGGCCTTATTTATATTATAGAACTTTATTTTGCAAAGTACGCCTATGGAATGTGACGTTATATCTCCATTTTACTGCACTCCTCTTTTATTCAGACTATAGTAGTTGACAGTACTATAAACTTATATCGATTGCAAATCTAACGATACAGAAAAAATATATAACTATTAGCTTTCTTTGTGGCTAAGTTAGGTGTAGCTATGGCAGATGCGACATCTATTAAAACATAAAGGTTATTTAAGTATTGTTACCTAATCGATAGTAAGACCTAAGGAATATATTTGTGCTTAAGCAGACCTGTTTCTAAAAGTCTTTCAAATGCAAATCGACTAATATAAAACTCAAGGTGGGCTTAATTCAATGCTAGTAATCACCAAATTACCACCAATAATCTAACGGTCGAAACTTTCTCGACAAAGTTCTCGCACCATAAAGATCTGTGGATAAGAACCCCCGGATTATCCGGCAAGAATTTAAGATACAATTAAAGTTAATCTTTCAGCATGAAATGCGGTTGTCGACTCTTCCTTCAACTCGACGATTTTTTTATTCTAATACCGTGACTATGAGCCAACTTTTTCTGCCAACTTTTCTGGGCTCGCGAAACTTTTTCAAGAATTTTATAAAAAGTTGCGCTAAAGAGGCAGCCTGCTATTTTGATAATATATGTCTTCTGTTCAACAACTGTTTAGAGAACTTTCGTTCTCACTGAACGCGCGAATTCTATCGTCAAAAGTTTAAAGTTTTTTATTGAATAAAAGTGACGGGAAAATCCCCACTTGAGACAAGACGATATGTTGCTGGGGTTCTTCATAAAGAGATGAAGATGATAAATTGTGTCGTAAAAAATGCTTAGTTTGCAACGCACCTGCTTAAAATACCGTAAATATGTTTAACGGTATTAAAAAAACAGAAACATTTACATCTGGTAATAATGATCGTTAAATGTCCATCGTAACTTTAAATTTCTTATGCTATGTAATTAGTATTGATACATTTATATACAGGAGAAAATGTAATATACTAGTGGCAAAAAATGTAGTAGGTAGTTTCCTGAATATATACACCAGGAAATATATACAACTTAAAATGGAAATAAATCCAAATAAAAATGAATTTATGATGAATATGATAATGACATAGAAATAAAGACCACCAGAAATCAAACATTTAGGTTG